AATACAGACATAAAAAACACGTGAAGGAACACAGAGGGGTACCGCCTTGGAACGGCCAGTTAAACCACTGGGGAGTTTGTACATCAAAACAAGTCTGTTTTGATGTATATTGAAAAGTTTCATTTTCTATATTTTGAGGAATTGGATGAAGAAGAACATGGTGCATCATATATCGGACACAATAAAATCACTCTAATAAAAGTATTTAACTCTATCTATTACGTATTTAAATCAAATACAGTTAATGATATTCCATCCTGTAAGAAATGATAAATTTAAAAGCATGTCATGTTGATTTTTTGGGGATGGGTTTACGTCGCACAAAAACAGTGTACGTCAATAGGGCGACTCTTCAGCTTTACGGGTGGAGAAAGAACTCTGGTGCCCCTCTTTTCAAAATTGTTTCTGGCACAAACGGGCATCTGAGTACAATGAGTAATGTTTCGTAGGCTATATTGATAGTATCGTACATACATGTTCCAAACACACTCATGTTTGACCATTACATCAAATTCAAGTGTACTTCTGTCATGTATTTTATTAAATGTTTATGATTCAATTAGAAACTTGGTTAGAATTTAATGATTTTTCGGCGAAAATGATATGGTTTAGTTGTACTACAGATAAAACCAAAAGGCACTGAAAAAAAACAACTGATAAACTAGCGACTTGAAGTAACACATTTGAACTCCAGCTTCACATGTTAATGAATTCTATATGTCATGTTGTACGTCTTAATATCAGTATACCTTTGTTATTTGAGACTTCAGCTCATGAAAGTAATCTAAACGAGTAAAATAAACCCCCTTTTAGGCGGAAAATTATTCAATAAGTAGCATAGTGACCCCCGATTTCTCTTTTATAAATTTGCTTTATCAAATTCTTTTCTATTCAGTTATTAAGAACATTCTGTCTACTGCTTCAAATCTTCCTGGGTATAAATACAAAGGTACGTTATCTTTCGGTAAAAGGAAGAAAATGACAGATTATTCATATGATCATGACTGTGCAAAATCATGTTTTGAGGACCTAGCTATCTTGCTGATAAAGATTTTGCAAGCAATTTGATGTACCTCTCTTATTTTAGTGCTTACACTTAGTATCAAATTCCAAGGAAAATTTCTAAGGATACTTTTAACGTTTTATTACTGTATATTCATTATAACTTGAATTGTAATACCTGTAACTGTAATATTTTTCGTTCATTTGTTTAAAATACTAAGAAAGTAGCTCTTGGAATTTTCCAAACGAAATCCTGTATTTCCGAAACAATTTTCAAAGGCTTCTTATACAGTAGCTATCATATGAAAAACAAGGTCAACAAGGAATGGTAGTATTCAATGAACGTAACACCCACACGACCAAGCAATATAGGCCATAGCTAAGTTATCAATAACAAATTACCTTCAGGCTTACAAGTGGCAAAACAAACCAAAGAAAAAAAATCCACAAAAACAGTAAAAAAAGAGAGAAAGAAGATATAACAGTAGGGTTAAAAAAGACGGGAACAGAAAATATTTCAGAGTTATAGAGCAGGAAAAAAGTAGGATTCTCTTCCTTACTTATATATGCAATCAAATGCACCCGATTGATATTTATCCATTGCCTGTCTTGAAACCAGTCACTCGTGTCTTAACAACAAAATAATCGGAAAATGAACCTGAACTTTGAATTTTTTTAACAAATCAAAATATTTACAAAACTTTTAACAATAGGTATGTCATGATAAAAATAGCAACTGATATTAGGAGTAAAAACCCTGGTTAAGATATGCATCGCCCCTTTTCAGTCTAGAAGTTAGAAGTGTTTTAAAACATAGTTTAAGCAATGGTTGCTGTATTAGATGAGGTTAATATTTTACTGAATTCTTAAAGTGACTTTTACTTACCTGGCCTTCACTTTTGTCGTGCAAATATCATGATTTTGTTTGCTTGTTCGTTTATAGATCCTGTATATATGTTGTAATCAAAAAGTAGTTACCACACTAAAGTGAAATTTTATATATGTGCAATGTATATAATTATGCTTCTCAGACAATTTTCAAACATCGAAGAATATGTAAACTATGTTACTGCAAATATTTAACCACATTATATGTAATCATTAAGATATATGTATTTCTTATTGCAAAATTTGACTAGACTTTATAGAAAATATATTTCTTATTACATCCCTTTATTAACATGAAATGTAAATTTGGTAATATCTTTGATGCTTTTTGGAACTTAAAATATTGATAAATCTTCATTTGAGCATTATATTTTTGATATAAAACAATAAAAATTGTGTTACAGGATCTTTTATTTGAAAGAAGGTTTGGGTTTAAAGAACAACAACTATATAATAAGTTTTAAGTTTATTTCACAAGTCACGACAATTACCCTGCTGTGGTAGCTGGAGTGTGTCTGGGGCTGCACACTGTTAACATTGCCGTCGCCTTGTTGATCTTTTTTGTCGTCTTCTTTTACCCTTATCCCGCTTTCAATTTCTTTTCCTCCGGGAAGCTTCAATATATCGATAACATTAAAGCAGAGATCAATTGACCCATCACTAGTTTGCTTGTTTGATTTTACGCCTTTTCCCAACAGTATTTCAGTCATATAGGCGGGTAGTCTCCTAACCATCGTTCCTGGAGAGTAACACCAGTACTAGACTACCTTCCTCCGCGCTAAACTACCAAAGCATCTCCCGGGGATTAAACCCACTCCAGAGAGGTAACTGGATTAGAAGTCATCGACTCTAACCCCTCGACCACGGAGGCGGTGAGACCCATCACTAGTACGGAGGCGTTCCAATAATACAGAAACTGCTAAAGCATTCGTTGAAGTAAAAAAATTCAGTAATGATGATAATAATATTAACATATCCAGATTGTTACTCTTTTCCGACCTTCTTGATAATGTTAACCATGTGCTAGTTGCATGAAACAGGCATTAATTACCTTAAGTGTTGAATGTCTAGCTCAAAAACGTAGTAATCTGCTTATCAACAAACATTCAATGCGGATAAATATGCAAGTAGGTGTGTAAAATGATAAAAGTATATCAGATCTACCTAGCAAAGGGTATCGATTTTTTCTTGTAGATTTTTTTTATTATATGCACTAGACACACATTAAAATTTATTTACTAGTAAAGTTGATGCCTAAATGTCCTATAATGTGGCCTGATTCATTCTATTTTTAACCAGTGCTTTCAGTGCTTTGATTCGAGTTGAAGAAACATCGTAGAAAAAACGATGTCTTTTTCTTTGATCTTTTGTGTGTTTGTTTTTATGCTTACAATACTCAAGGTCTTGTTCGTTGTATAAGAGGTTAGATAAACTAAGACATAGTACCAAAGTGGCCTTTGAAATAGGACCCATCACACTGTCTTGATAAAAGAAATTTTTTTAGACTAGATATCTTTATATTTTAACCATAACAAAGTTTTTGCATAATATTTATTAATTACACGATAGCAAAATTCATCGTAACAGATTAAAAAAACATGCTCACAACAATATAATGCTTTGAATGTATTAAAATTGCTTTTGAATGATTTTTCTCACAAGAACAGAAGTGCCCAACAAGAAATTTATCAAAGCAACCCATAATTTGCTCTTAAATTTATGCAATGATTGTATATTCCACTTTCGCACTTCGTTGCTACAGGTACACACATAATTTTCCGTTTCGGTTTTTAGTCATTTCAAGACTCACCACGTGACCGTTATTTATAGACTGGACATCAGATTTGCAAACTGAAAAGCTTTTCCCACGAAATTGGAGAAAATATATATATTTCAAACGAATTGCCAAGCCAAAGAACAGATATCACTGTATCACTGATTGAGTGTCTCGGTTTAAATAGCCCTAACACGCAAGTAACAATAAATATCGATTCGTGAAAATTTACATATTTTGTAACATTCGACCATACCTCAGTGGAGCACCTTTAATCGCACGGGACGTTGTAATTTGGTACCAAAATGAATGAAAATGAGTTATTTGTAGCATGTCCTTTGCAGATGTATAGTAAGTAACACGAGCAATACTTGGATACTAATTCACCCATAAACAAATATATAGTACGTTTCAAGCATAGTTTCTAATATCGTACATATAATTAAAACTCTCAACATTTGTTTCTGACATACACATATTTCACAATTAATATTGATTTGACCAAAAACCAATAGAGATTTACTAAAAAGAAGTTGAAATGGTAAAAAAATCAAATACAATGTATCATTTAAAAACAGTGGTTAAGAATATAGTTATAATCAATTACATAATATACATTTATAAACAATTACATAATATACATGAGAAAAATGATATTACGTCCAAAAAAAAAGAGATTATAATAATACACCGACGGCCCTGACGTAAAATATGATCTCGTCCATAATTTGTCTCAACTTGGTGTAAAATCCGAAAAACGTCATATTCATGTCATAAACAATGCATCAGAGTAATTAAGTAAAGATGTTAGAAAACTATTTAAAAGGCAAATATATTTTACTTTTTCAAATATCTAATATGTCTCCTTTACAAACTTTTTTCCAGCTCATCAAACAATTCTTTCATTATTCAATTAATTGTTGTAAGTTTATACATTGAATTGTATGCATAGTAAATGTGCACCTAACATTGACATAATGTTTCTGCTGAATATATTTCAAGATTCAATGTTACATTGCTGAGTTGTTATGACGTTGAACTAGTAATCTAAAGATTGCTGGCTCCAAACTCCACCTGGGACAGGTCGTTGTTTTCTTGAGTAAGGAAATTGTAATTACTTGATAATTCCTTGTTGATTCAAGGAACGGATCCAACAAATACACTGTGCCTTTAGCTGATATCTTCCTGCACAATCAATTTTTAATGAATACTGTATATAATAAAATTTCATGTGCCATATTTAAGTCAAGTATTTAGAACTACGACCCTTATTTTACAGCAATATAAGCAGTAGGATGTCTGCTTGTGGATGAATATCCGCGTAAGAGTTGTAATTATTTATTCGTGTGACACTTGGAAAACTTTAATTTTGTTTGGCATTCCTACAAACAATCTTTTAGTATTTTGGCAGAATGCAACACTCTCTGGTTGATTTAATCCATGACTTTTATTGCTCAAGATCTGCACTTCAGTTAGGTCACTTGATAGTTGATGGATATTTTTAAATTTAGCTCCGCTAACATAAATTGATCCATATTCATCTACTGCAAGTTGACGAGGTATTTTCAGTTGATCATTTATGAAAACAGCCTTCACCTCACCCTCAATGGTCAGACAGGTCACAGTGTGTTTGTACCAATCAGACACATAAATCAGATTGTCAGGACTGACAATTATATACCAAGGTTCTATAAACATATCCTGACCATAATCCTGGTTGTCAAAAGTTTTCACTATTTCACCTGACATACTTAGAATCTTAATACTAGCTGGATTCCAATAAGAAACTACAAGATGTTGATTCATAATGTAGGCAATACCAGTACAATATCCATTCCCTGGTATCTCAGTAATATCTAAAACTTTAATGTATTTTGAAAATGTTATGATTTTGATCATTCTTTCATTTTGAAATGTTACAGCAACTTTATTATCTAAAATTTTTGTTATATGCCATGGACTTGTATTAAATTTTATATCATCTATATATTTTGCTTGAGACTTTTCTAGTTTGTATATGACAAGACAACATTTTGTCCAATATAATTTTATAAGTGTATGTTCAGATAAGACAAGTAACGAAGATATGTGATCAGTGGGAGAGTTGATATCAAAATTAAAGACAAATTTTCTTTCTACAGCTGATGCATGCACTTTTTTAAATGTGAAAAATCTTGTTTCACTCTCTAGAGATAGTTCTGTTGGTTGAATATTGGATGGTTTTAGTTTGAAGTACAGTATGCAGGTTTGCTGAATTTGATCCAAATTTTGACGAAGATTTTCACAAAGTTGTTCAGTAATTTTTAATTTAATAAACAATATACAGTTTTGACCTAATTTCTGGGCTTGTTCTAGATCAGCAGTAAGAGCCTTCAAATTTTCAACCAAATTAAAATGTTCTGACCGGAGAACCTTAAATTCTTTGTTTAAGCTAACAACTTCTTCTTTCATACCTGTTTCAGCTTTTGTTATCTTGTTTTTAAATTTTCTCTCCTTTTCAGATAACTCTTGAACTAGTTCTAACCTTTGTTTCTTCAATCTTGCAATGGTTTCTTCTATCTTCTTATCTAAAGCATGAATCACATCTTGATGATGCTGTTTGAAGGCTTCTTTCAGTTTATCTACGTGATCCTTGCATGCTTCAATTGCCTTTTCCTCTTGTTTATCTACCACTTCACTTTTGGCTTCCAACAGTTTTTCTATGTATTTTATGTCGGTATACAATTTGTCCAAGTTCTGTTGAAGATCTTTTAAGTCATTACTGTTTTGTATGCCTGAAGCAAGGATTGGTAAATGGTTCACGTCACTACATTTAACATGTTCATTATCCTTGCATTCTTGGCAGGCTTCTTTGCTACACACAGAACAGTAAAACTTGATCAGTTGTCGAGTATGAGTTGAACACTTTTCGAAATAGAAATCTTGTGGCATGCTGTCATAATTTTGAATTTTGTGAGTTTTTGATTGTCTCTTATGATATTTACGACAGGTCACACATTTATATTCCACACAATCTACACAAAAAGCTACAGCAGGTGTATAGCCATCACCATGTTTTTCACATTCTTCGCAGTACATTTCCTTAGTTTCGTAAGAGTCTTGTGTTGTTAATGCACTGGTATTAGCAGTCATTTCTTTTCTTTTTTCAGAGGTTTAGAAACTTTCTTATCGTCTCAATTTTTTGTTATAAGATCGTTTTCCTTGAAGTAAAGTACAATTTTTAATGTAAGGGATTTTAAAGATCGTTCGAAGGTTATTATGTAGATCATATATGTTATGATAAGTGATCATGTGAGGTAACAAAGGTTTTGTTTAATTTTGCTGCACGATAATTTGTATCAGTTTGATAACATTTTAAGTTAAAATCTGTGCCCTTGTTATCAATGACATGTTTGGACATTAATGTGTAACATCAATCTACTTGTGGCTTTTCTTGATTATACATGACTCTTATGGACTTTGGATTCTTTCATGTGAGGTAGCAATCCGGCTAGCTTAATTATTTGCCCGTTTGATGGAGTCACTTGCATTATGTACACCTAATATGGAAAAAATATAATCTTTTTAGGAAAACTACAATGCCAAGATCTTATATGTTTGCTTAATAACAAGAAATAAAGCAGGGCATTCCATAGACTTACCTTAAAATGAAGTTGTTTGGTGTTGTGATGTTGAAACAAACGAAAAATGTGGTACTGAATGGTAATGCAAAACATATCACCCCTAAGAAAACCTGAAAGGGGAGAAGTGACCTAAATATCAACTTAAATGTTAACTGTAAATTACAGGTGCATACAAAGAACAAAATTAATTATGTTCTATATTGACACTTGCATTGACTTTTTCAGGTAAGATTATAAATTGGTATTAATACATTTTTTGCAGAAAAAAGTAACGTGGACGAGTCTGTGTTGACGTTGGTTAACTTAATTTTTAAAGCTTAAAGTTGTTGATAATACTAAAATTATGTTATGTCGATTTTCTTTTTTGCCTTTATTTAACTAAATTATCCAACATTCAGATAAGTACAGCGGAGTTAATGATTAAAAGATAGCATACTTCATTGTAGTTGTAAAGGTGTCCGTTTGGGAGCGTTAACGTCTTTGGCTTCATATACTTATGCAGTGTGTATACTACTGAAGGAAATACTAAAGAGGGTATAAAGAGATATAAACACTACATTATTACAAATCCTGATGATCTCTTTAAACTTGGCATTGTGCCAGACCTTGATGAGCTCCAGCTTCAATCATTTGTTTAGGATACATCGGAAGGTTTATCGTGCTCGGATTAAAGCGCGTCATTGATGACTGAACTATGATAATTTACTCATCATCGACGCGTGACTGATGTGTTTCGGCTTGCTCATTCAAAATATTTAGACAAAGATATTAAGAGAGACGAATATTGACTTACATATATGAATTAATTTCAAGATTTGTACAAAATGTTGCAAAAAAAAACAAACTTTTAAAGCGTGACTGATGTGTTTCGGCTTGCTTATTCAAAATATTTAGACAAAGTGATTAAGAGAGACTATCATTGATTTTAAGATTTGTTCCAGATTTTAAAGATGAAGTATTTTCAAGATTTGTACAAAAAGTTGCCGAAAATATAAATTGTTGAAGCCTTTTGAAGCAACACGTACTACATTCCAATTATGAGAGAAAACAAATTGTTTAATCAAATGAAACGTTATGAATACAGCATTTTGTGAATTAACTTTCATTTCTTATGGTAAAAATAAACGAAAGTATATCATATTTCGGTTATGAAAACTTTAATTCCACAGATCATAATATACATTGTTAAATATAATTCCCGAAATACGCTTAGTCGAAAACATGAAATATAGGTTTTATTTTCAAATTGCAACCTTGATTGGTTGATATATTTGTTACCTTTTCATAATGTAAGTGCCATTAAATATAAGATAATCGCAACCTCGCATTAGAGACAAGTCAATTAAGTATATAACATTATAGTAGAAATGTATAAATATTCACCGCCAGTAAAGCATACATATGTTTCACGGGGAAGAATAAACTAATTAATTGACTGAAATTGTAAGGATGAAAAAAGCAATGCACAATTCATGCATTTTCGTTATAAACATTAATTCTTTGAAATGGGACATAATTATATGTATTATAACTGTTAAGTAAGAAATCATTAAATGAATTAAAAACAATTGTTTTTGCATAACCTTTTCCATATTTTGTCGGATATTTTAATGAAAATAATTTGAATAAATTGTATTTCCTTTAAATTATTTCTCGGAGTATCTAACTGGCCTTCTAACGTACAAAAGTTGATCCATATATCATAAGGAATCGAGTGTCTTACATGCGTGATTCCTGTAGGCAATACTGCTACAAAGACCTTTTCAAGGTATCTCATTTTTACTTAAAACTTTCATATTTTCTGAAATTAACAATCATTCTTTCATTTGGAAATGTTGCAGCAACTTTATAATCTGAATTTTTGTATCCTTATTCAAAAAGTTTGCCTTGACTTTTCTAGTTTGTATATGACTTGGCTAATGCTAATTAGAAATGTAGGTTTAGATAGGACAAGTAAAGTAGGACAATATGACAGTTGTTAACAAAACTTAAGACAATTTTTCTTTCTACAGCTGAATGAATATACTTTTCAATTGTAAGATTTCACTATCTAGACACAATTAATGTTGAAGGTTTCAATCTGACCCTCCATTTACGATAAAAGTCACAGTTTTGACCTAATTTCGGAGCCTGTTCTAGAAGAGATTATAACATAATAATGAGCAAAATTCTGCCCATACTCACTACATAATTAATAACATTATACAATTATTGACTAGCTATCGCCTCGGTCAATATGTCATATGCCGGTGAATATCACATCATATTCAATGGCTCACTGGTCAATAATTGTTTTATTATATGAATAGGCTAAGAAAAATCACAAATGTACAACCTTATATTCATGTACACATTTTGCCTCGTCCAAGCGCTGGAAAAAAGACGCACTTGAAAGGCGTGCAACGACTACGCGAACGCTGCGCATACAAAAGTAATACAAGTTTATACTGATCATTGCCATGTAGCCTTTAAGTATAATAGTGATGTAATGTTATTTTAATCGAGAAATGTACCAAAAACAAAACGCAGTAATTATTTTTATTTAACCAACGTAATTAACAGAATACGGTGTATGGTCATTGATTATGAGTCTCAATCTATTTTTAGACTGGGGAAATCCAATCCAGCCAGAGAATATGATACTACGCCCAGTGAATATGTTTTTATAAAAAATTCTGTTGACTACTGTTAAGACCAATGATATTGCAGCTATATTTAGATCATATAATAATAGATTTCCGACTCAAATTTTAATATTTATTATATCCATAATTTTATTTATTAAATTTATTACATTTAAATAAAACCATTTTATCTTTGAACTAAATCGGATAATTATCAGATGATAATCACCTACAAAGTTATTATATTTACTACAATTTGATAAGGGCCTTTCCTAATAATAGAATTTAATGGCGACAAAGTAGAATGGTGACTGCAACTGAATATCTTTTAGTACCTTCCTTGGCAACTTTATCTAAAGTCAATTGTAAACAAGAGGGCCAAGATGGCCCTACATCGCTCCCCTGACCAATCAACCACATCCAAGAAATGTCTTAGACAAGCATCCTGACCAAGTTTGATGATGATTGAGTGAAAAATGACCTCTAGTCTGTTAACAAGGTTTTCGATATTTGGGCATTGTGGCCTATATTTTGACCCCAGGTGACCCATATTCAAACTTGACCTAGAAATTATCAAAACAAATTTGCAGACCAATTGCCAGGATATTTAAATAACAACAGTAGACTCTAGAGAGTTCACAAAATTTTCTATTTTTAGCTCTTGTGACTTAGTTTTTCATCAGAGATACTCATATTCGAACTCCTCCAAGCAATTAACTTGAAAAACATCCTGACCAAGTTTGATGAGAATTGAGTCCAAAATGTTACCATTAGAGTATTAACAAGGCTTTTCCATATGTGGGCAGTGTGACCTAGTATTTAACACCAGGTAATCCAATACTGAACTTGACCTAGAAATCATCAAAACAAGTTTTCAGACCAATTTTCAGGATATTTGGATCAAAGCAGTAGCCACTAGAGTGTTAACAAGATATTTCTATTTTTAGCTCCTGTGACCTAGTTTTTGACAGGAGACGACTCATATTCAAACCTGATCTAGAAATTATAAAATCAATCTTCCTGACAAATTTCCAGAATACTTGGATCAAAACTGCAGCCACTAGAGTGTTAACATTTGTTTTCTACTTTTGGTCCCTGTGACATAGTTTTTGACCGGAGACATCCCATATTCAAACATGACCTAGAAATCATCAAAACAATTTTCCTGACTGATTTCCAGGAAATTTGGATCAAAACTGCAGCCACTAGAGTGTTAACAAGTTTTTTTTCTATTTTAAGCTCCTGTGACCTATTAGTTTTAACCTGAGATGACCCATCTTCATACTTGTCATAGAATTCATCAAAACAACCTTCCTGACAAATTTACAGAATATTCCGATCAAAACTGCAGTCACTATAGTGTTAACAAAATTTATCTATTTTTAGCTCTTGTGACCTAGTTTTTGACCAGAGATGACCCATATTCGAATTTAATCAAGAAATGATCAAAACAACATTATTGACAAATTTCAAGGCCATTTAGATTAAAACTGTAGCCACTAGAGTGTTAACAAGCTATTTCTATTTTAAGCTCCTGTGACCTATGTTTTGATCCGAGATAACCCATCTTCGAACTTGCCCTGTATTTCATTCAGACAAACATTTTGACAAAGTTTGATGATGATCCAATCAAAACTGTGACTGCTAGAGTATAAACAACCCAATTGTTGACGACGCACGACGTCGCACGCCGGACATAGCCCCACCACTATACCTCACCTTGATCACTTCGTGGTCAGGTGAGCTAAAGACGGTGTCATCAAAAAAGTGAGTCTTAAACAGCATCATTTAAAGGGAATGAATAAATTACATGCTGAACTTAAGTAGACTACAGCTGTACTTATTCTGATTTAACATACATTTATCTTATTTGTACTCATTTTCATTATATATATAAATTTTTTGTTGATTTGTGTTACTTAAACCGGTGAAATTGAAACTTGGATTAATTCATTAACACTTATTTGTCCTTCAGATTCATCAACCCCTTCCAAAATGTTTGAAATGTTGATCAATTTATTAATTTATTTTTCTTAAACTTATTTCTATTAGAATATCGCCTCATAAAATGTAATTTCTTAAAAACATGGTCAATAGATTTAGAAAGCTTTGTCTGAAAGTTATGTTGATAAACAAATGTACATAGCTCAAAAAGTATATAAAGTTCTCTTGTCAGAACGTTTCAAATTTAATCTTGCTATAAATACTTAAGATTTAAACATCTGACCAGTTATGTGATAGTTATAGATTTTGTGCCATTTTATTTAATCCTGAATGTCTCTTTTGTTTAAACATAAATCATAACTTTTATCCACAAGTTAAAAAAAGAAAAGTTTTTCTATGTTATTAACATGAAATATCTGCAGACCAGACATAACAATCATAATGGTTTAATTGCATTTAAAGTGTTAATTTACGCAATAAAAATTATTAAAGGACAAGTACAACTTAGAGATATCTTTGTAATGATATCTGATAGTTGGGCTTATCAGTAATGAATGTGGTCAAGATGTTTATTCCTGCAATTTTCATAGTTTATTGTAATATTTACAACAGCAGCCGTGTGTTTGTTTACACACACTTAGTCACGTGCTAGGCTTGTCGGTACAGTGCATATTTAAGTCATGTTTAGGGTTAGGATCCTTATTCAACCCGAATACGAGGCGTATTGTGAATAGTTAGTCATGAGTGTACGTGTTAGAGTTGTTATTGTTCATTCTATTGACACATTGAAAATCTTTATGTTATTTGGCATTCCGACAAACAATCTCATGATATTTGGACAGTATGCAACACTCCTTGGTTGATGTAGTCTATCATTTTGATCTACCAGGATCTTCACTTTAGTGAGGCCACTTGTTAATTGATGGATGTTGTAAGAGTTAAAACCACATACATATACTGATCCATATTCATCAACAACAATTTGTTGAGGTGTTTTCAGTTGATCATCTTTGTAGATGGCCTTTACCTTACCATCAAAGGTCAGACAGGTCACATAGTGTTTGTCCCAATCAGAAATATATATCATTGTATTGTCAGGACTGACAGTTAAGTACCAAGGCTCGATAAATAGGTTCTGACCATTATCACTTTTGTCAAATGTTTTCACTATTTCACCTAACATACTTAGAATCTTAACACTAGCTGGACCCAAACATGAAACTATAAAACAGTTATTAGTATAGGCAATACCAGTATAAATATCATTTCCTTGTATATCAGTGAAATTTAAAACTTTTATATCTTTTGAAAATGTTATCAGTCTGATCATTCTTTCATTTGGAAATGTTACAGCAACTTTATAATCGGAAACTTTTGTAATATCAAATGGATTTGTTTCAAATGTTATGTAATCAATACAAATTGCCTGTGACGTTCCTAGTTTGTATATGACTTGTCTACACTTCCTGTAATCTAATATTAGAAGTGTAGTTTCAGATAAAGCAAGTAAAGAGGATATGATGTCAATGTTACAGTTGATATCAAAATTAAAAACAACTCTTCTTTCGACAGTTGATAATCTTTCAAGTGTGAAAAATCTTGTATCACTCTCTAGAGACAGTTCTGTCGGTTGAATGTTGTAGGTTTTGCATTTAAAGCGGTCTATATAGGCTTGTTGAATTTGTTCATTATTTTCGCGAATGTTTTCACACAGTTGTTTTGTGAACTTCAATTTTATAAAAAGTTTACAGTTTTGACCTAGTTTCTGGGCCTGTTCTAGATCAGCAGTAAGAGCCTTCAAATTTTCAACCAAATTAAAATGTTTTGACTTGAGTAGCTTAAAGTTTGTGTTGGTGCTTACAACCTCTTCTTTCATATCTATTTCAGCTTTTGTTATCTTGTTTTTAAAGTTGCTCTCCTTTTCAGATAGCTCTTCATCTAGTTCTAGTCTTTCTTTCTTTAACCTTGCAATGGTCTCTTCTACCGTCTTATCAAAATCATCAATCACATCTTGATGTTGTTGTATGTAGGCTGCTATAAGTTGATCTGCGTGCTCCTTACATGCTTTATTTGCCTTTTCTTCTTGTTTATCAACTTCTTTACTTTTGGCATTCAACAGCTTTTCTGCATCTTTTATGTCAGCAGACAAGTTATTCAAGTTCTGTTGAAATTCTTTGAAGTGATCACTCTGTTGTATGCCTGACACAATGGTTGGTAAATGATTCACATCACAACATTTAACATGCCCATTATCCTTGCATTCTTGGCAGGCTTCTATGCAGCACTCAGAGCAGTAAAACTTTATCAGCATTTGAGGATGAGTGGAACACTTCTCAAAATAGAAATCCTGTGGCATACTGTCACTATCTAGAATTTTGTGAGTTTTTGATTGTCTCTTATGATATTTTTGACAGGTCACACATTTATATTCCACACAATCTACACAGAAAGCTACCGCGGGTGTATAGCCATCACCATGTTTTTCACATTCTTCACAGTACATTTCTTTAACTTCGTCAGAGTCTTGTGTTGATGATGCCATTTCTTTCTTTTACAAAATTCCTGATTGTTTGAATTTCTTTGATAATATCCTTTCCCTTAAAGTTAAGTATAATTTAGTGTTTCAACGGATTTTTACGATTGTTTTGAAGGTTATTATATAGGTCATATAATTATATTACGATAATGATCATAGGAGGGATCAAAGGGCTTGTTTAATTTTACCATAATATAGTTTGATAAGCCTGTATCAGTTTGTTAATGTTTATAGTTAAAATCTGTTCTTGTTATCAATACAATGTCAGTTCATACATGTTGTAAAATCATTTTACCGTCGACGTTTTAAGTTTATACATGCATGCCAATCATAATGTAGTGGAATAATACTAAATGCCCAGATAAAAGAAGTAAATAAAAAGAAAGAAGTAAATCCACAGCTTATGCACGTACTTTTTTAATGTGAAAAAAATGTGGTTTACTTTAGACTACAAAGGTTATAAAAACCATGGCCTTAGGGTTAACATTGGTTATTTCCTGAATGTCACTTAGTTTTTATCACCCCGCCATAAAAAATATATTTTATGTGTGTTTGAACACCTTGTTCTGCTCAAAATTCATGCTTCAAGGGACTTTTAAATAACTTAGCACAAATATGCAGCATAACGAGACAGTATTTCATGGGCAATACCTTCAACACTTAAGTGCAGTAATGGGTTAGTTTCTATTTAATTAATATAAGGAGTTAACCTGTTACTACACTAGTGTTCAAAGGTCAGAGGTTAGAATATCTTGTCCAGCCAATAACTCTGTCATGCATCAGATTTTTTTAAAAAAACTTGACAGATGAGCCATTATGTGCCATGTGCAGGACCTAAACCCCAAGATCCAACGTGATGATATTAGTTATAGATTATTTAGAGTTTCCTCATTTCTGAAAAAGAGCCCTTTTCATAGCAAAGTTTAGTTCAGAAAAATGTCCATAACTCAAAAACCACACAGTAAATTTGGTTTAAATTTTCCATACAGGTGACCTTTAAGACATATAACTGTCCTATGTTGTCAATTTTACAGTTCTTTGTAGTGCCCTTTAGGGGTGTTCTACCTTTAATGATAATTTGTGTTTTCTTGATGTATTGGTCATTTGAGTCATGTATTGAATGTACCATAAAGTGTTAGGATATATCATCACTTAGTTCAGTAATGGGTTAATCCTAATAAATTATATATTAAGTTAAATTATTACTGAAATAAGGTGATGACAATTATGTCATTATTTTATTGATTGAAATAAAGTTTTGAAGGACAGTAAAAGAGGATAGCCATTCTTAAAAGATCTCGGTTTAAACTAAATATACACAAGAATTTGTTGTATTTAGACAAGCCATTAAAAGTTACTGTGAAGCTAGAGTAGGTATTCAAGATTCAAACACATTAACCCTTAGTCTGCTGAATTTTTTTAAATGAACTTGTCCAGCTTCCATTTTTGGAACTGTCCATTATCAATTTTAGGGGAAATCAAGATGAAAATGTGAAGTAAGCCAGTAGTATAATGTTTGGTCTGACTGCATGGATTTACAGACTAGTCTAGCTCTATACTGGTGGTAAAGGCTTACCACTTACTGTTCCAGCATGATAAAGGGTTAAGTTGAAAAAATTATTTTGATTATATGTATGTCATTGTTATAAAATGACCTGTATGTTTAAGAATAACCTATTTGTCATTGTTTAAGAATGGCCTTGGCATGGTTGGAAATGTATGCATATGAACATTACCTTTCTGCTCGGTAAAATTGTTTAGTTAAAATATAAATGTTATATATTTACAGATATTTTGAGAAGAAGAAGCAAGCCGCTGTGAAGGAACAGAAAAATGTTGATGCCTCACAAAAAGTATAAATAAACATTTCATCAAGTTGTGTTTCAATTAATGATAGAGTACAAGGTTTAAAGATATACTATGCTCATCCTTACGTAAAATATTTTAATCACAGAAATTTATTGCAATCTATGAAATTCTTACTGAACATGTCTCATTTAAATAAAAGAATGAATAAACTATGTATGGGAATCTGCTTTCATTATTACAGGACAAGTAAAGTTGATATTTTCTTGAAAAAACTGTCAGTTTTTATTAATGAGAGTATATATATTTATATTGTGACCACCTATAATGTGCAGAATCTTAAACATATCTACTTTGTGTGAAGTCAAAACATATTTATTTTACATTAACAAAGAAAACCAAAATTACCAATTACAATTGCAATAACCAAAATTTTCTTATATCAAATTTGAGTATCATATATCTTTAATTTTTATTTGAGGCAAAAGATATCCTAACTGAAAACAATTGATTTTATCCAGGGGTCAAGGGTAATTTTTTAATCTACAGGTGTAAAATTAAGTAGACTAACAAATGATATGGATTGCCAATCTGTTAGTAATTAAACCCTTATGAATGATGTCTTTTTGTACACAAATGTGAAAAAATTATTTGCATTTGGCAATCTTAATCCTTATTGTGTAAGTTTAGTGTTTAGAAAATAAGTAAAATCAAAATTGAACCTAAATTTCCAATTTTTAGAAGTGAAAACTTTTTGAGCCCAGCAGTTGTACAAACAGAATCACAAAAAAACGTGTTCTTTTGTGTAAACCAGGTCAACCAGTGCAATTGCATCATCCCAGTGGATATCCAGTCCATCAATTTGCATAGAACTGTATTCATTAGGCTTTTCCTTCAATTTGCTATTCACCATTTTAAATATTAAGAGATAGAGTGTTGTTTGTTTTTGAGAATGCCAAAATTTATTGAAAAGAGAAGAAAAGGTAAGGGATGGTTGTGGCAGATGGATTAAGGCTGTTGACTTCAAACCACTTGCCTCTCATCGCTGTTTTCCATTTTCCCCACAAATGTCATTGAATTTTACATATGAATAGCTATTTAGCTAGCTGACTGAGTGTTTGTGGTGCTGCTTAGGTGCCCCTTTGTGTCCTAAAATTATGTACAGAAGTGTTCCTCCACCAGTTAAGCTGGAAAGTTACAATATGGCCTATACTGTGTTGGTGTGACGGAAAACCAAACACTGAAACACCCTCCCCCTTCCCCACTTTCCCTCAATAAAAAGGGAGTAATCATAACTGTAAACTGCTTTTTTATTTTTAGGCATTTAAATCAGCAGAGAAGAAGACAAAGGAAACTTTAAAGGATGTAGCTACAGCCGCTTCCATAAATAAAGTCAGGAAAACTCACTGGTAAGACAAAAAAACAATTGATATTGATAACTCTTAAGTTCATGGAACCAGAGGTGATTAGACTTTACCAGATATAAAGAGCCAGGCCAGATTGCTCATCTGTACAGTCTGACCAGGCACTATACTGCTGGTAGCTCTTTTTTGTATCCATTAAAACTGTGAATGGACTTTTTAAATTCAAAGTTAGGAAACCAGTTATACAAATTCTGTAAGTTATGGGCTAAAAAGATAGGTAAACTGAAGTTGATATAAGACCTCTTGAATGAAGACCACAAATTGAAAATAGTTACACAGGGACACCATTTGCCTTTATCATAGAATACAATTTCTCCTGGAAGAGGCCTTCATAACTGAATTGCTATTGTTAGAATAGGAACCCTCATTTTGATTTCTTCCTGAAACATTTAAAAATATTGTTCATTGGCATTCTATTTCCTATTATTTTGGAAACTTTGAGCCACTTGTTTTGCTCCAGTTTACTTAATTTTAAAACTTTTTAAGATTTTTTACGTTACAAATTTAGTTGCATATAAATCTGTTCACTAAAGGTAAGAAAAGCATCAAACAATCTGGAGATAAACTGAAATATGTGTAGTGGCATCAGATTCAAGTTTAATTGTATGTTTAACTTTTATTTGTGAATAAAATGTTCCAATGTAATATAGTAATTATATTGTTTTGTTTTTACAGGTTTGAGAAGTTTTTATGGTTTATAAGTTCGGAGAACTTTCTAGTGATCGGTGGTCGAGATCAGCAGCAGAATGAACTGATTGTTAAAAGATACTTAAGACAAGGTATGTACATGCTCATGTATTTTCTTTTGTTCTTGTATTGTCATGTTCATGGAGTAATGTATTGAACCAGTCAATGTTTAACCGTTGCCCCAATCCACTCTCATTCTATCAGCGTGATGGGCAGTGCAGGAAATAGAAGGGGTATGAGACATGTTTTTGGTGTGATTATAATGATTATAATAACAGACGAACATATTGTTTTGGTCTTCCTCTGTGAGTCTTTCTGTTTGTTTGTCAGTTTCACTCTGTTTGTCATATAACTGCAGCCTTGATCATAATATAGCAGCCATTCTATATAACTCAGTGTTAAATTTGTTATATGTTCTTTCATAATTATGTGTTGTGAGTGAACATTGCTATAGATTTGTGAATACTTGTCACATTTATACCAAGAACTATGTGTGCATATACAAAGGCTGACTTATTATGTGGCAGCTCTTTATAACCTTTTTATGCCCCCGGGCATATATTGATTGAACCGTCCGTCCGTCTGTTCGTCTGTCCGTACGAGGTTAACCTAGAACGGCAAGTTGGATTTTCCTTAAGTTCTACCTGTACCAATGGCTTCTAAGTTTACACCCTTACTAATCAATACAAAGTACATGATCTGGGCAAGTTACATAACTCTGGCTTTCATATTTACCAAGTTATTGCCCTTTTCAACACTTAGAAAATGAATAATGGTTAACCTAAAACGGCAAATTTAAGTTCCTTAAGTTCTATCTATACTAATGGCTTTATAATTTCCACACTTACTTATCCAATACAAAGTACATGATATTGCCAAATTATATAACTGTGTCATCCATATTTTTTTCCAGTTATTTCCCTTTTTTCACTTTGAAAATAGGGCCTTGTCTGGTTAACCTATTTCGGCAAGTTGGATTTATCTTAAATTTCTCCTAATTGCTTAATTTCTTTAATGATATCTTTCATATTTAGTAGGTGGATACCTTTGATGGTCCTCTAATTTTTTGTGGAGTAAGCGGTCTCTATGGTCAAGGTCAAGGTCACTGGTTTAAAAAATAAATATCAACAATTTTGCTCATACAGCTTTTATATTTTATGTGATGTCTAAGTTTAATACAAACATGCCAAGGGTCCTCCTTCTTTGGATGTAGTAAGGGGTCATTTGGGTCAAGGTCAATGTTTCCAATGTCAAGGTCACCAATGTTAGAAATAGATTTTTACATTTTTACAGGTGTATTTACCTTATTCTTTAGACAGATGCTATTTATAATTGATAGAAACATAAACTTTGATGGAGTTAGTGGTCAGTTGGGTCAAGGTCATCAGTGCTAAAAATAGATTTTTACACATTTGCTCATACAGCCTTTATTAAGTGACAGATATATTTTATATTTGGTAGGAAGATAACTTGCATGGTATTCATCCTTTTGATTGGGGTAGGGATAAGTGGGTCAAGGTCACTTGTGGTAAAAATAGATTTTTACACTTTTGCCCATACAGCTTTTATTTATTGACAGATGTATTTCATATTTGGTAGGAAGAAAACTTACACAGTATTCTTCCTTTTGATGGAGTTAGGGGTCAGTTGGGTCAAGGTCGCCAGTGCTAAAAATAGATTTTTACACTTTTGCCCATACAGCCTTTATTTATTGACAGATGTATTTCATATTTGGTAGGAAGATAACTTACATGGTATTCTTCTTTTAGATAGAGTTAGGGGTCAGTTTGGTTAAGGTCACCAGTGCTCAAAATAGATTTTTACACTTTTGCCCATACAGCCTTTATTTAATGACAGATGTATTTCATATTTGGTAGGAAGATAACTTACATGGTATTCTTCTTTTGGGTAGAGTTAGGGGTCAGTTTGGTTAAGGTCAACAGTGCTAAAATAGATTTTTACACTTTTGCCCATACAGCCTTTATTTATTGACATATGTATTTCATATTTGGTAGGAAGATAACTTACATGGTATTCTTCTTTTAGATAGAGTTAGGGGTCAGTTTGGTTAAGGTCACCAGTGCTCAAAATAGATTTTTACACTTTTGCCCATACAGCCTTTATTTAATGACAGATGTATTTCATATTTGGTAGGAAGATAAATTATATGGTATTCTTCTTTTGGATAGAGTTAGGGGTCAGTTTGGTTAAGGTCACCGGTGCTCAAAATAGATTTTTACACTTTTGCCCATACAGCCTTTATTTATTGACATATGTATTTCATATTTGGTAGGAAGATAAATTATATGGTATTCTTCTTTTGGATAGAGTTAGGGGTCAGTTTGGTTAAGGTCACCAGTGCTCAAAATAGATTTTTACACTTTTGCCCATGAAGTTGAATATTTTTCATTTTTACAAGTCCTAGCAATGACTTGGCAACTTATATTTCTCACGATTACAAAATGCCATGACTTTATCAAGCTATATAACTTGTGTTTACAATTTTTTGGCAATTTTTCTGTCCATTTATGAGTGAATGGGTAAACATTTTTTGAAATATTGCTACTGACAAGAATCTGAGCCGGGGGCATTTGTGTTTAACAAACACGTTCTTGTTTTCATTGTTGTTTATCACAAAGTAAAATATCTCGTCCTTTGAAATCCAAAATGTAAAGTTGCAAAAAAAAAAACTGATAAAAAATGGAGAAAAGGTATTAAGTGATGCCTTTTCTGATTAGCATTGCAATTCGTCGCTTGAAAAACGTTTTGTTCTAAGTGCCAATTTATTGTTTTTGAGAAAAAAGCATGTAAAGATTTAGTTTTGCATAACTTTTTTATTTATTGTCGGATTTTGAAAATTTAAAAACTACTAAACGTGGTGTCAGGAGAACAACTCAATATCGTTAATGATATGTGGATTTTAATATTTCCTTGCTTAAAAACCTTAAAAAACATTTGGAGATAGAACAGTCCTTGTAACTTTTTTTCAAAAATTGTTAAAATCAGAGTGTTCAGTGTGACTTAGAACATTATATCTTTTAAGTTGAATTGATTTATATCATATAAAATAGTATGTTTTATCTTTAAAAGGCTGCCAAAAATGCTTTCGGCTTATTATCCCTTGATTAGTTGACTCTGACACTACACTATTTCTTAGACCATATCTAACTACATGAACTATGACATTCGAAGTCTTATTAAAATCCTTAAATCCATTGCATTATTAAATGACATTTAAACAAATAATTTGAATAAATAAAGATAAAATACCCACATAAATTTTGTAGACATTTTATCTATTTTTATAACTTTGGCCACATTCAAAATGATTCAATGTCTGGAAAAAGAAAGTTATAGCCGCAAACGGGAAAAGAAACTTTCAAATTTTCTAGAATGCTGGGAAAATCTTTCAAGATTTTTTTAATGAAAATTCAAAAGATGGTCAAATTCAAATTCCTTCCAAAAGTATGAAATAGTAGTAATTATTTTGTTATGCGCTTTACACGTTCAGTGTGTAAGTAAGAAGTTCTTATAATTGAAGGTATGTAAAAAATGTTTCTATAACTTAAATAGGCAATGAAAACTTATCTGCTAGAAAAGACCTTTAAGGTGGAGCAGGCATGACTTATATTTGAAAAATGTCATATTTAAAGATTGTTCGTGTACAAAAACATTACAAACATAATGCTATATAAATATTCATTTAGAAATTCATTCCAAGACAAACAAAATATACGTATAAGAAGATTTTTCTTCCTTCTGTCTTTGGTATAAAATGTGTTTACTTTAAAGCAATCTATTAGTTATATAACATTAACGCATTCGAAAACATATATTATATGTAAACGTATAATATCTATACATTTTCTTAAAGGCATTTTTTGCCCCAGAAATGCTTTTATCTTAATCTCTCAAAAGCCTGATATTTA